TGGATTGAGAAGTGTCTGTTGGATGTAGCAACAATGTTGATGACTTTGGTTAGTGAACTGTAATGCAGTGTAATGCAGAAGATAGATTACATTATCTTGAGTGAGTGGGTGGTCAGAAAGTGAAACTATGAGTATAGATAATGTCTTCAAGTGGTTTTGCTGCAAAGGAAATAAAAGCAGTCAGTAATTGGGGTGGGACATGAGGTTAAAGGAAAGTTAAAAAATTTTAATTACATTCTTTTGATTTTCCTTTTAGGAATGTGATTTACCTTTTTAGTATTAAGTCTGTTTTCTTGGCTTCATTTCATCTGAAGTGATGGGTGGGACAAGAATTGAAAATATATAATTGTTTTTGAATTGTGTAGTTAACCCTTTGCATGTGGTAAGAAAATAGCTTTAGTGTTGTAATTAGATTAGATTGTCTCTGTATAATTTTTGAGAGATTCTTTAGATCATGATACTTCATTTTAATTTATTTCATCTTCTGTTTGTTTTTTAGATCATTCATCGAGATATAAAACCCGAGAATATTTTAGTATCCCAGTCAGGAATTACTAAGCTCTGTGATTTTGGTTTTGCACGAACACTAGCAGCTCCTGGGGACATTTATACAGACTATGTGGCCACACGCTGGTATAGAGCTCCAGAATTAGTATTAAAAGATACTTCTTATGGAAAGTATGTATATTTTGGGATCCTACCTGGCCTTTCCTAGGCATCTCTTTTTTCCCTTGGCATATCTGTTATCCCTACTACTGACTCTCTCTACGCTCTGCATCTGGGTTGGGGTTAAAGAAGAGGGGCACTGTATTAGTCCATTTTTGTTCCTTATAACACAATATGTGGAACTGGATAATTTATAAAGAAAAACAACATTTATTGCTTACAGTTTCTGAGGCTGGGAAGTCCAAAGTCCATCTGGTGGTGGTGATAGTGACTCAGGGGGTTTCACATTGCGAGATGGTGGAAGCAGAGCAGAGAGAGAGAGACAGACTCTCCTCTTCTTTTAAAGCCCTCAGAACCATACCCCTGACCACCATTTTTAATCCATTCACTACTGCATGGTCCTACAGTCCAATCACCTCTTCAAGGCTCCACCTTTCAATTACCATAATAGGACTTCTCACCCTCTTAACAGTTACAGTTGGGGCTGAGTTTCTAATACATAAAATGTGGGGGATACAATTCAAGCTTCAATGAGTTTTGGGGGGACATAATTCAATCCAGTACAGGTACCTCTAAAGGTAACAACAGAAAGACTCTATAGGTTCCTATACAGCTGGCTAGGGCTGCTGCTATGTGTACTCTCTGGGGTTGAATGGCCACTGCCTCAGGAGACTTATGCAGACATCCGTCAGGGTGTATCCATGCTTGCTTTAAGCTGTGCCACACCCTTGGCAGAGCTGTCTCTGCTTATCTTTTGCCTCTATGTTCTGCAAAGATTTTAAAATCGTTTACCTGACTCAGCAAGTGTGGTAACAGGTTGAACTGCCAAGTTCCCTCTTTACTGGAAAAATGGCACCGTCATTCAAAGATTGGCCAGTAATATTTCAAAAATTGCATTGGTCTGGGTGCCTCAAAAAGTAGCATGGTCTCAGGCTAATGTGAAAAAGCAATCTAAAAATAAAAAATATGTATATAAATAATCAATCTTGAAGAACATAAAGGGACAAAGGTGTACAGTTTAATACCTTTTTTTTTTTAAGATGACTGATAAGGGGATCTTAACCCTTGACTTGGTGTTGTCAGCACCACGCTCTCCGAAGTGAGCCATGGGCTGGCCCTTAATACCTTATTTAAGAGTGCAGTGTTATAGGCCGGCCCGTGGCTCACTCGGTAGAGTGCGGTGCTGATAACACCAAGGCCACAGGTTCAGATCCTATATAGGGATGGCCGGTTGGCTCACTGGCTGAGCGTGGTGCTGACAACACCAAGCCAAGGGTTGAGATCCCCTTACCGGTCATCTTTATATTAAAAAAAA